GAAGGAAGGAAGGAAGGAAGGAAGGAAGGAAGGAAGGAAGGAAGGAAAGAAGGAAAGAAGGAAAGAAGGAAAGAAGGAAAGAAAAACAAAGCACAGAAACATTTAACATCTTCCATCTAGAATAAATGCTTCCAAAACACTGGACCAGGCACGGTAGCACATGCCTATACTCCCAGCACTGGGAGGTGAGGGCAGAAGGATCAGAAAATGGGAGGCCAGACCAAGACTTTGTCTCAGAAAAAAAGGAAACGCACAAGAATATCATATAATTGGACTGCCATAGCAGAACAGTGGCAGAAGTGCAAAGGAACCAAGGTCAGAGGGCTGAAAGAATTATGCCCCAGCCAGCTGGTAGCAGTGAACCTAAACACAAGCAACAAGGGGCCATGCGGGGGTAGGAAAGGAAAGGGGGCGGTGACAGCCAGTAGAGGCAGCAATACTTTCCACTGCCCCCTTGTGCCAACAGGTGGAAGGATAAGCCAGCATACAGTCCTAACTATTATGGTCAAGCAGGCTGGGACCCAGACAGCCCCAAGCTTACTCTACTACCAGTTGCAGCAGAGAGACCTTGGGAAGCCATTGTGGCCTCCCGACTCTCTCCCTCCCCGGGGCCTCAGGACAGAGGTGGGGACAAACACTTCCAAGTCTTTCCCTCACTTCTAGCTCACTTCTAGCGAGCAGGGGCAAGGGGAAGGACAAACTGCAGCAACTTGTACTGTCACCAGAGTTGAGGGAAATCGAGATAGGGAGAAGAGAACAGGGACAGAGCTGCAGGGCCAATGGCCCTAGCCGGCAGGAAGCAGGGGCAGGAAGACCACCCGAAGTTCAAGGCTAGTCAGGTCTACACAGGTCCAGGTCAGAAAGACCCTATCTCAAAAATAATAATAACAAATAAAGATAAAAACAATGTGAAGGAATGAAAAGGTTGGCCAAGACCTCTCTATGAGTTGTGTGAGCAAAGGGCCCTGGGGGAAGGACACAGTCATTTCCCATTAGGGAAAGAAGTTCCAGGCAGAGGCCACAGCAAAGACAAAGGCTCAAAGGTTGCACTGTGCCCAGTTTGCCTGAGGAGCAGGGAGAGACCCGGCTGTCCAAGGCCTAGCGGGCTCTGATGGACTCACACAGAGTACCATGCCAGAGCTGGACAAACAGTGTGAGGAGATGAGGCAGAAGCCAAGAGACCAAGATAGTGAGGATGGGAGAAAGTGAATAATGGCTGAATTCTAGACAGATGGACAGCGGAGCAACAGATCCCAAGAAAGCCTCAAAGTGGGGACAAGCAGCAAGAGTGTGACCGCTGAGCCCAGTAGGAAGGAGCAGTCCCATGAAGGCCAGGCTGGAAGAGTGGGGTATGCAATGTCTACTCGCCACAAGGACTCAAGGCACATGCCCTCTTCACAAATGTGGGCCCTCCTGCCTGGAAGCAAAGCTATGGCAGAGAAGCTCACTTTACAGGCCAGCTTGGTGTCACCACCCAGCCTTCCAGGTCAGTCACTAACGTACACATCTAAAACTCTGGGCATTCAACTATGGGACCTGCTCAATGGTTCTAGACGGGGACACTGGCAAACAGTTATAACCCTGCCCAGACACAACAGCTTAGTGAGTGCCTCTCCTTTTGTGGCCCAGTAGCCTGAGGACACTGGAACTGAGTGTCTTGGTTACTCTTCTCCTACTTGATAGAACCAAGACCATGCCCAAGGCTTTCTTACAAAAGAAAGTATTTACTTTGGAGCTCATGGTTCCTGAGGGTTAGAGTCATGGCAAGGAGCATGGCAGTAGTGGTGTCTGAGAATTTACATCTTGAAACATAAACACGAGGCAGAGAAAATTGTGCATGGTGAGGGCTTCTGAATCCTCAAGGTGCCCTGCCCCGTGACACACCTCCTAACCCTTTCCAAACAATTCCACCAACTAGGGACCAAATATTACAATATGTAAGCCCATGGGGGCCACTGTCATTTAAACAACCACAGCAGGCTTCACATTTACACCTCAGATGAGGAAGCAGGGTCCACAAGCTGAGAAGCACAACCAGGTCACCTGGGACTAAGTGCCTGAGTCAGGATATCAGCCATATATGATTTCAGTGATGCAGAGAGCAAGACAACCCAGCCACAAAGCAGCACCTCCATGTGAAAGATTCACTGAGCCTCTGGTCCTTCAGCTAGCTGTTGTGAGCACTCATGAGGCATAAGGGCATGTGCACTCTTCTTAGGGATACTGCGAGCCCAGAGGACAGAGACCTGATCCAACACTGGCCTAAGTAAACACGGGGCAGACAGCTTACCAGTTAGATAGACAGCTTCCCCATGTTCACCTGAGACTCTAGCTCAATGTTTTTGGCCTCCGTTCCCTTTTACTTTCCAGAAATACCCAGTAACCCTAATAATGTTACGATAGCTGCTGACTGGGATGTGGCTGCCAGAAAGCCAGCACAGACTGCACCTGCTCTAGCCCAAACTCGTCCTCCCAGGGTCTTGGCATTTGGCTTCATTTCTCCAGGCTGCACCAGGGGCAAGGGAGCAGGTTCTTCACTACCAGCCTCTCTAGGGGCCGTACTGGGAACAGGTTGCCCAGGGCAGGAACGGCAGAGACACTGGCCACCTATACTTGGCCTGTAACCAGGCCTTGGTCTCCAGTCCCTGTGACAGGAGCCAGGGTCTGAACACCATGTCCACAGACTCTCAATTCAGGACTGGCACCAAGTGAAGTGGGGGAGGGGAGAAGACGGAAAGGGCGGGGGGGGGGAGGAAGAGAAGGAAGAGAGGAAGACTGGACTGCAGAGAGCTCAGCAGGGGAATACCTGCCACCAAGACACACACAATTTTTTTTCTGTTGGAGATTTCTTTTCTGTTTGTTTTGTTTTTGAGAAAGGATCTCACTATATGGCCCTGACTGGCCTAGACCTGGCCAGGTAGACCAGGCTGACCTTGAACTCAGAGATCTACCTGCCTCTGCTTCTGCCAACATTTTTTAAGTTATTTTGTGCTAGGTGTAGTGGTGTACACCTTTAAACCCAGTATTCTGAAGTCAGGGGAAGATAAATATCTGTGACTCTGAGGCCAGCCTGATCTACACAGTGAGTTCCAGGTCAGGCAAGGCTACATAGTGAGATTCTATCTCAAAAAGCAACAAAAAGCTGCACTGACCTCTAGCACCACAAAGGGCTAAATAAATAAAAATAAACAAAATGAGATGTGATGAAGGACAAAGCATTTGACTAGTATATGCAAGGTTCCTAGGTTACATCCTCAGCATGGCAGAGAGGCAGGAAGAAAGGGCACCCAAGATCCAATTATCCAGGAGGCAACTCACACAGCCACACATGGGGGGGGGGGGGGAGATACAGCACACCTTTACCTTAAAGGGGCAGTCTCCATTTTCAAATGCATGCAGAATGCATCACCTACACAGAACATGTGGATGCTACAGAGGAGTCAAGGGCTGACCCCTATTTCTTGACTCCAGAACCCTATGTACCTACCTCTACTAACCCAACCTGGCACAGTGAGGCTATACCCAAGTCACCTAAAACCAGAGAAGCCAAATGCAGGATGGAGCAACAACCCATGTTTTCCTACAGGAGGCGAAGGCCACCCTCCAGCCTGGGAAAGCAGGGGCATCTCCAACACGAGGTAAGGTCAGACAGGCAAGGGGGATGTATATGGGAGGCTCTTAACTCTCGGTGGGGTTGCATGGAAATTCACAAAGACTGCTGTGGGCTAAGCACGGTGGTGCACGCCTAGAATCCCAGCACTGGGGCAGAGCAAGCTGCATTCAAAGCTAACCTGGGCTATGCAGCAAAATTCTGTCACAAAAGAAAAAGATTGCTATAGCACCACCCAGTGGACTGACAGAAGAACCCTGCCTAGTTGCCAACATCAGAAAGTCTAACAGCTGACCAGCACTACAGCTTCAGAACTCCCACGGAAAGGGCTGAGACCTACACTTCACAGGCAGAAGGCCCTGAACTCAATTCCTAGCACTACAAAAAGGAAGGAAGGAAAGAAGGAAGGAAGGAAGGAAGGAAGGAAGGAAGGAAGGAAGGAAGGAAGGAAGGAAGGAAGGAAGAAAATCTTCCTGGTGGCTGGGCTGTATCTCCCTAGACATCAGTGCTTAATTGTATGCAAGGCCAGGGATTTTATCCTCAGCAAAAAATAAAACACTTCCCCGCCCCGGGCCAGACGGGGCAGCCATCTCCAAACACCCCATCATGCTGCCGCAGCCCACCCAGAAGTCCTCCCTTGCTCTCCCTCCCTTTCCCTGAAGGGCGTGGCCAGGCAGCGCTCATTCGCCCTCCTGCTCTCACAAGGCTGCTAGATTGAGATGGCACCCTACTGATAAGAAACTGCAGCTGGGGAGCACAAGTGTCCAGCCCAGGACAAGGCTAAGAGCTCAGAGGGCTTTTGTTCCTTAGTCTGGACGTGGCCTTACTGCGGGAGCTGCCGCTGCAGCCTGGGTACCCTCTGCCTCCTCCCAAGTCGCACCTGTCCTGTTCCCAGGCCTTCACACTTATCACTCTCTTGCAATTGGTGATCTAATACAGACCCCTCTCCATTTCTGGACAGGAAGACTCTGGCAAGCCAGGAGGCTAAAGGAAGCCAAAGATACCAATCTGGGAGGATTCACAACCTTCCACTGTCTCCACCCACGCCAGCAGGCAGGTGAGTCTGCCCATGAGCTCAGCTTGCCAAACAGCCCTCTAGGATCCTATTCACAACTCTTTCTTTTTTTTTTCCTCTCTCTCTCTCTCTTTTTTTTTTTTTTTTTTTGGTTTTTCAAGACAGGGTTTCTCTGTGTAAGGTTTGGAGCCTGTCCTGGAACTCGCTCTGTAGACCAGACCAGGCTGGCCTCGAACTTACAGAGATCCGCCTGTCTCTGCCACCACCGCCTGGCATCACAACCCATTCTTTTTTTTAAATTTTTTTAAAAAGAGGATTAGCTTTATTATTATTATTATTATTATTATTATTATTATTATTATTTATACAACACTCTTGTCTGTGTGTCTGCCACAAGAGGCCAGAAGAGGGCATCAAATCTCATTTCAGATGGTTGTGAGCCACCATGTGGTCGCTGGGAACTGAACTCAGGACCTTTGGAAGAGCAGGCAATGCTCTTAACCACTGAGCCATCTCTCCAGCCCCCACAACTCATTCTTAAAAAAAGATTTCACCTTTACTAGTGATCCCTTTTTGCATGTGAAACATCAATGCCCATTCAGGTCTCTGGAGATTCAGCCAGGGAAGGAGAGCTTGCTGAGTATACATACGGTCTAGCTTCAAGCCCCAGTATAAAAGAGAGACAGCAAGAAAATGAATACAGTAAACAGTTTTATGTAACACATGAGAAGGTAGTGTGGCATCAGAAAATGAAGCACAAAAAGGAGAAAGGGGTGTAGTGCGTGCGGGAGGCAGGTAACTTTTTTACATAAAGTTGTCAAGAAATGCCTCCTTGCCACACTGAAGACAAAGGCAGGTGGAACTCTGAGAGTGTGAAGCTACCTGGCCTACACGAAGTAGCAGGCCAGCCAGGCAACAAGAGTACACGGTGAAATTCTGCTGGGGTGGAGGAGGGAGGATGGCACTCCCTGAAGGAGATGTACAACCAAGACCTGAAGGAGTAAGAGCTTACAGGTGGCCATCCTCAAGGGCCTGTGCATAGTGTGGCCTGGAGTCACGTGCATGACAGAATGGAGAGGTGTAAACAGGAGGGGACAGACAGATGGTCCCAAGGGTGGCAAGGTGGGGGGGGTGAGGATTTGGTCTTCTACTGTGAGTGGAGTTATGGAGAGCTCTGGGCAGAGGAGAGTAGGGTCTGGCTTGAGTTTAATTTTGCTGGCTTTGTTTTGATTTTTGACATAGGATCTCACTGTGTAGCCCTGTCTGACCTGGAACTCACTCCATACATCATGCTTGTAGAGATCTGTTGCCTCCTGGGTGCTGGGACTAAAGGCGTGCTGGGGCCACCGTGGGCTAAATTCTTGAAGGATCCTTTGGAAAGAATTAGTAGTCTGGGGGCAGAGTCCAGCTTAAGGTTGGGAAAACAATTCCCTCAAAATTACAACAGTGCTAGATATGGAGAAATGATGGCTTTAATGAAAAAAGTGGTTAGCTCTGGCTAACAGGCCAACACTGGCCACTACTGAGGTTTCACTGTTGTTTTTGTGACCTCTCCACCCCCCCGAAAAAAACTAACTATATAACCCAGGCTAGCCTTGAATTTTCATTCCCTCTGCCTCAGTCTAGAGTGCTGGGCCAACAAGCTTGCTTACATACTTGCTAACATTTTTAACTGATTTGGGGAACAAAAATCAAAAAAGCCTATTTCAAGACACATGTATGCAAATGGAATTCCAACATCTGGGTCTACAGACTTCTGAAACACCCCTCCAGGCCTGTCGGTTGACACCCCAGCTGCTTCTGGGCCTCAGGGACCCAGCTGAGGAAGGGCTACTGGGCAAGACCCTCCTAGGATCAAGTATGGCAGCCGGGCTTTAGCCTGGTGGGGAAGGGGACCTGCAGTCAGATGGACAGAGGGCAGAGGGAAAGGACAGAGACAGTTAAGTGGCTGAAGAGAGGGAGGCACGGTCTGCCATTAAACAGGAGAGGACTCTGAGAGTGGGAGGGAAGCTGAAGCCGAGACTCGGGTTCGGACATACTATTTGTTTTGTTAGTCTGGGGTTTTTCATTTTCAGTTGTTTAGATTAGTTTTGTTGCTGCTGTTTCGTGTGTGTGTGCGTGTGTGTGTGTGTGTGTGTGTGTCTGTGTGTGTGTGTGTGTGTGTGTGTGTATGTGAGTACACATGTGTGAGAACCTGGAAGCTACGCATTTCAACAGCGGGAGGCTAAAGCAAGAGGATCTCAAGTTCAGGCCAGCCTGGGCTACAAGGCAGAAACTTTATCTCAAAAATAAAAAGAGCCAGGCAGTGGTGACACACGCCTTTAATCCCAGCACTTAGAAGGTAGAGGCAGGAGGATCTCTGTGAGATCAAGGCCAGCCTGGTCTACAAGAGCTAGATCCAAGATGGGCTCCAAAGCTACAGAGAAACCCTGTCTCAAAAAACCAAAAAGTAAAAAGAATACACCTGGCTCTGGATGGGGCTCTGGGTGTGGCTTGAGATGGTAGGGTTCTTGTCTAGACCTGCTTAGAAGACACAAAGCCCCAGATCCCATCCACGGCACCAAAAAAAGAGTGTATTATCCCTATCTCCTGCTTTAGCAATGACAGTGGGTTTTTTTTCCCCCACCTTATCATGGGGAGGCTACACATTGATATTTGTGTGTGGCTGTCGTATAAGTTTATACAGGCCAGAAGACAAACTCAGTTGTTATTCAACCTTATTCTGAGACAGGCCTCTCACAAGCCGACAGCTCACTGATTCAGACAGTCTGGCTGGCCACAGAGTCCCGGCATGGGGACCACAGGCATGCATATGGCATTTTCACATGGGTATTAAGGATGAAACTCAAGCCCTCATGCTTGCATGGCACACACTTTACCAAATGAGCCATCTCCCTAGCCCCAGTTATTGTTTATTTATTTATTCATGCATTTATTTATTAAGGAGCATGTGTATGGAGGTCAGAGGACAACTCTGTGGAGCTGGTTTTCTCCTCCATCTTCACTTGGGTTCTAGGGGCTTGAACTCTGGTCCTCAGGCTTGCATGACAAGTACCTTTACTGCTGAGCCATCTCAGCAGCCCTCCCACCACCTTTTCTTATATTTATTTATTGTATATGTATGAGTGTTTACATGTGCACAATGTATGTTCCTGGTGCCCATGCAGGTCAGAAGAGGGTGTCATATCCCCTGGAACTAGAATTACAAATGGTTTTAAACACCAAACTCAGGTCCTCTCTAAGAGCAACAAGTGCTCTCAAATGCCGAGCCATCTCTCAGGCCCCCTACCACCACCATTTAAAGGTGGTATGTAATGAAGTACCTGTAAATGACATCATCTCTAGACTACTGTTCTGGAGACTTTATGTAAACACTGATGGGATTCTCCTAGTCTATAACATCTGAACAGTAAGTTAATACCAAAATATCATTGCCTTTAATTCCAGCTCTCAGGAGGCAGAGGAAGGTACATCTGAGTTCGAGGCTAGCCTGATCTACAGAGTGAGTTCCAGGACAGTCAGGGCTACACAGAGAAACCCTGTCTCAAAAAAACAAACAAAAAAACAAAACCACTCCAGGAATGGGTGGTGCGGAGACTTGAGGAGGCTAAGGCAGCAGCATCAGTGGCTTCTAGAGAAGCTGCGGCATCTACCTTGATGCTGGGTTCTCTCCCCTCCCTCCCAGCACTCTGCAGCACATCACGACCAGGCCAGCCTTTCCTGCTGGTCAGATGGAGACCGTGGCTGTATGGCAGGCTCTGCTACAGGCCAGGCTTGCAATTGGTCCCCTGCCTCTGTTACAAGCACAGCAGGTTCCTCTCCTTAATGCAGCCACCAGCTGAGTTCACAGACATAATGGGGAGGGAAAGAACAGAGTTGAAGTAAACTCCACAGTTCCTCAGGGCACACTCCTGAGTTATCTACGAAGGAGATGTCCACAGCCAGGGCCACTGGTATACACCTACTATCCCAACACCTGAAAGGTTGAGGCAGGAGGACTGCCAAGTCAGCCTAGCTTACATAGCGAGACCCACCTCAAAAGAACTACCATAAAAGGCTGGCAAGTTCAAGGACCTGAGTTTGACTCAAAAACCTACAAGGAGAAGGCCAAGAGTTTAATCCCAGCACTGAGAAGGTATAGGTAGCATTGTCATGATTATGAGGCTTGCCTGGGCTACACAGTGAGATTCTCTTTCAAAAAGAGGGGAGGGTGGGTGGGTGGTTGACATCACTCAGCCATAGTGGGCTCAAGTCCCAGTCCAGCCCTAATGCCAGCCTGTGGCAGCTTCAGGACTGACCAAGCCATTAAGCCAGTGTTTGGTATTGCACCACTCAGCTCTCTGAGGCTGACTGCAGTGGCCTCCTTCACAGTGATCTAAGTTCCAGTGTTCCTCAGGGCAAGTCTAGGCGAGAAAATCCCACAGCCCCAGAAGCCTAGACCCTTCCCTCAGCAGGGGAAAGAGAGGGCAGAGAACCAGAAGGCACAGGGCTCACGAACCCAGTCTGCAAACGGTGAGCTCCGAGCCATGATGGCCCACAGAAGGCTCTCTGAGGGAAGTACTCAGGCAGTCTGGAGCACTGGGACTCTCTGGAGCAAGTCACTGCAGTGCCTTGGTGGGTTTGGCTCTTAAAAGCCTTCAGGGTGCTGGGGGCAGGAAGACAACAGTGGAGCAAGTGTGGCTGCAAAGACAGTGTAGAAGGATCAGGAGCCTTGGACTAAGGAAGGTACAGCTGTAGGGGTGGGGGAGGGGTATCTTTTCCCGGCTCCTGGAGCACCACTAACTAGTACACGCCACCAGTTTTCAGAAAAAACAAAGTATGTATGTCAGAGCTAACAAGGTGAAGCATGTCAGTCACGCTAGCACTTAGGACACCGAGACAATAAGGCCATACTGGTAAGTAAGTTCCAGGAAAGCCTCATCAATAGGAAGGTTAAGCTGATTATAAAATGCTTCCCAACTTAACATTAAACTCTTGCTGTGAGCCAGGCGGTGACGCATGCCTTTAATTCCAGCACTCGGGAGGCAGAAGCAGGAGGATCT